CCCCCCTCCCATTACAACAAGTAAGGGTGATGAATGAAGAATTGTAATTGAAAATAATCAAGTTTTAATCAAGTTTTTAGGATTTTGCGCATGGAGTTTTGTAGCAGGATCTGGTGCACTGATACCAGGCAATCCCAATATTGGTGTAGTCATGTGGCGAGGCAAGTACTTTGCTTTCAGTTCGAATGATGCTGCAAAGAAATTTGGTGATGATCCGAATAGGTAACAGCTTTATATTTCCCCTCCCAAACATTATTCTCCTCAATATATTATTTTCGTAGATTTCTCTATGAAGCGATAGATTTTATTCGCCGACATCCTGAATATATTCACCTTTTTCAAATTCAAGAGGACATTAAAAATATGAATAATGGCAATGAGTAAGTTTTATAAGTAGCAATAACAATGCTAATCATTTCGTTTAAGGGTCGAGTGTATTATCTATCGAACGTTATTTTGACTGTTTTTTTTTATCTTGATAATTTAAACATTCTCAAATTGTCATTCAGTTTTACACAGCCCTCGAGAGTTCTTAAAAAATGATGATTGTACAATCAAAAACAAGTTGGAAAAAAAATACTGAACATTGGAGGGGAGAGAAATTGCAAATCGGGAGATATTTGCAATTATAAAGATGGAAAAACGTTCGGAAAATAATCCATTCGGGTCTTAAACTTTGTTTTTTTTTGTCATCTAGAATTGATAAGATTATAAAATTAAAATTATCTGCTGGAATTTTATTTCCATATTAGATTTCTTGATACAGAGCACACGTTGAAAAAACAACAGAATCAGACTTGTCAAACAGATGTTCATTGTTTCACTCCAATAATCAGCCCAAAATATCACCATAGTATTTGGAAATATAAAAAAAAAGCCTTGAAATTGGTAAAGTAGTTACTGCAATCATGTTTTTTAATTTGACAAATTTATATTAGCGTTGATTGCCCAATGATTTTTATTTTTTCATTCGGAAGGCAAACGTTTTGGATTGTGTTACGAAAAGTACTCAAACAAGTATTTGTCATTTCAAGAGGTCAAGAAAAATTCAAGCATCAGAATTGAAAACCATATCTATACAAACATATAAACATCATTAAAGCAGCGAAGCAGTTATCAAAGATAAATGTGGAGAAATCCCAGTAGTAGTACCTATTTATAAAGACATTGTCATTTATAAGCTACATAATTGGATAGAAGGCTGAGAAAATTAAATAAATGGGACTTGATAATTAGAAACTTTCGTTTTTTTTCTTCTGGTTTGCATTTATCATCAATTACATTCTACACTTGTAGATTTCAAGTAAAGTTTATTCGAATCAGCCCTACGACATTGGAAAAAACAACTCTTTTCTAAAATACAAGTTGAATTTTTCCATTTTATGATTTATGCGATTTACTTCAATACAATCACTTAATAATTTTTGTCCGGTATACCTTAAAGATTAGGTCAATTTTTTTTACACCAAAAAATGACTACAGAACACGACAATTAATTAATTACACGTTTCAATACAATCAAGTTTTTCCTTTTAAAATCTTTCTTAGTGTGTTTGTTTCTCTCCCTTATTCAAAGATAATTTCTCATCGTTTCAGCTTTTGTTTTATTGCGTATAATGTACTATTATACGGGAAAGGTACACAATATTCAAGGATGTGTATGTTATGCTTGCCTTAATTGGTTCATTCCAGACTTTTCACCAACTCTTTAATTTACTGAATGTCGCTTTCAGTCATTATCATGGTAATTATGTAATTATTTCAGTTTTATTTGTTTTAAGTAAAATAAAATAAACAATAGTCATTAATGATTATATTGGTGCACTGTATACATATTGGAAAAAATAATTGGACAAAAAAAAACAAAACAAAAAACAATGACAGGAAAAATTTAAACTTTATCAAATTAGAATCAAGTTTGTGGAAATCATGGAATGCCAATAGGGGATTCAGCATTTGACAATCATTAAAAGTTTTTCAAGGAATATGGAAAGAAAAATATAATAAAATAGAATGGAAAAAAAAATCAATGATTAATCCTGATGTATCTTCCTTTCTTCATCATGTTCTCATACTATTATAATTATAATTATTATTATTATTATTATTATTAATAATATTACTATTTATTTTATCATTATTTCTCATAGAGGGAGCAAAAAAAGTTGAAAACAATCGAATGCCCATTAAAGAAAATATTAACTTTGAAAGAGCATGTATTTTCTTTTTTATGGAGAAAATGAAAAAATAAAAATAAAATAATATGTAAAAATTGGGCTCATTTTTTTTGCACTTTTCTTCCTTTTCTCTCGTCCGTTTTTCCGATTATTTTGCGTACTACAGTCTAAAAGTGTTGTTTGTAAAAGAAACGGAAAGAAGTGTGGAATTGATTTTTTTTTTCTTCTTTTCCGGCTTAATTTACACTATAAAACCTCTTAGTCACTTGAAATTAATGTTTATGTATAAATGTTTATAACTTGTCGGACATTAGGACGATTCAGGGGGATTTTTTTTTCTTCGATTATTAAATGAGTTGAATTGTCGGCTGTTTAATCTACAAAGTGATTTTTGAGATATTTCATCATACCAAAGGTTCTGAAACGCTTTACTCCAATAACCTTCATGAGTTCCTCATCACAAATGGCAAACTGTTTATTTTTAGGGTCCTAAAATAGTGATAAATTAGTTATTGAGAGCAATGAAAATCATGAAAAAAGAAATGAAAAATTAAAAATATTAAAATAAACTTACATAAAGATTCCTCTCCTTGATGATACTCCACACTTTTTTAACAACTTCATGTCGAGCCATCTGGTCAGCACCAACCACTGCAGCCAGTTCAGGTGATAGTGTAATTGCTCGAGTATAACCACCTTTGCCCTTACCACCTCCTTTTTTTGCTCCACCAGTAGCTTTTTTCGACTTGCCCCAATCTTCATCACTGTCACTGTCACTGCCCTTCTTCTTTCCCTTCTTGCCTGGCTTTCCTGAAATTTAAAAAATGATAATTCATTCAATTCGAAAATCTCCCAACATTACAATATAATAATTTGATTTAATTATTATAATTTTAATATGTACCTTTTTTTGCGGAGGTCTTTGCTATTTTTTTTGGACTGTACTCCTCATCACTTGCATCGTCATCGCTGGCACTATCCTCATCGTCTGATGAATTCTTCTTACGTTTAGCAACTGTTTTTTTTGGTGGGCCTCGTTTTGCTGGTTTCTTCTCCTCTTCTTCCTCCTCTTCCTCTGATCCTTCTTCTTCCTCCTCCTCCCCATCCTCAGATTCTTCACTGGCAGCCTTCTTCTTTTTTTTCCCACCATCCTGTTTTTCCTGAAGGTGCTCCATTACAAGATCATCCACTTCCTTTTTCCTGTATATTTACATGAAACATGAACATGATCAAATTCAATCAAATCAAATATTACATGTCCATTTTATTTAGTTAGTTATTTATTTATTCATTCATCTCTCATTGTATATTATTATTTCATTGTAAAAGGAGGAACGAGATGACTACTTGAATGTCTATCAGAGTCATGCAGAGATCCTTTTTGTGATTTCTCAATTTAATCTTGGACACTGATCAATTAATGTAATAATATGCGCCTTTGAATTTGTCAAAGATGCTAAGTCTCGTGTCCGATTTTCAAATGAATTATAATTATCATTTATCATCATTTTTTTACCTTTCAGAGAGATCGATATCAAGTTTTTCCTCAATTTGTTGACGGACTTTTTTGGCTGACATTGTTGTCAGATCAGCATCCTTGAGAATCGCTTTAAAGAGAAAAAGAAAATTATTTACATTATATATTTATAATATATCTGTTTACTTTTTTTTTATCTATTACGATTATTTTATTATTTTATCATTTTATTTTTTAAAAAATTGACTAATGAAAAAGAAAAAGAGATAGAGAGATAAAGAGAAAATCTCATAATGGCATCGGTATGCATTGCTTGTGGCGGGAACGCGGCAAAGTATCGAACGTAAATGGCGGACGCAGATTGTACAATGTACATTTAGTAGCAGGCAACGAAGCGCGTCATTGCCAACCACACCAGATAGCACCCGACCGACCGGTCACAATTATTTATCAAAAATAAATGTTAGAAACTTGAGAAAAATTGTTATCAACTTTTTTTTTCTTTTATGTAACTCCATTGGCGTATAATTTTAAAAGCTAGTTGGGGAAAAAAAAAAGAGAAAAAATCTCACGTATCTAAGGCAAATTTTCAAATCAAGGCATATATTCAGAGATACTAAGTGTACTTAGCGTTGACAAGGTTCAAATTAATTGATTAATGAATTTATTACATTATAAATTTGCTTGACTTTTGCAACTATGAAATGCAATACCGACAAAAATATGAAGAGCGCCTGCCTATCTTTATCATCAAATATCCTTATTATATATATATATATATATATATATATATATATATATATATATATATATATATATATGTATAAAAAATTGTGTAAATGCTGTATGCTGCCATACTGCTTTCATGCTAGCATTCAGCGCAGAGAAATCCATTGGGATGGGAATTTGAAAAGAGAGAAAATGGATATTCGTAACAATGATTTGGCCATTTTATATGTGAAAAATGGACTAGTATATAAAATTGAGTGTAAATTTCATGGAAAATTAATTAAAAAGAAAATAATTATTAATATTTACAATGAAAAATATTAACTTGAGATGTAGACTACTCTCGCAATATTCTTCAATATACAAGCAGAGCGGCAGCAATAAGTAAGCATTGAATGTACAATGGCCGGCGTGGGGCACACCAACAACGCGGAGATAGTATGTCTGCTGTCTTGTGATACAATGCGCGTAGGTAACGAATGCAAGAGTGAAATGAGGGTTTTCATATTATTTAGCCCCAATAAAATTATGGAGAAAATGCAGCAATAAATATTATTATAATAAATATCATAATAATTGGAGGATAGATAACGTATATATCAATGAATTAGATGTTGTACGTACCGGTGATCTCTTTACGAAGCTCGTCCTTGGAAATATCGGCCATAATGCTGCTGCTGCTGCTGCTGCTGCTACTGCTTCTACTGCTTGTTAGTCGATGTGCGTTCTGCTGCCTACTGAGCCAAAAGCCAAACTGAACAAGTCGCTTGAAGACGCGCTAGAGCCAGCCAGAGAGAGCCTAACGGCTGGCGCTATAGCGTCCGTTTGTACAGCTACATTAGAAAGTATAACACCAACAAGTGTATCACCCAGCATTTTTCATTCAAAATATCTTGACAATTACTCATTTATTTCCCTTTTTGTTATCCATCAAGATTATATCACTTTTTATTTATCCATCAATTCCTCCCTATCGATTTCAAAATTTATACTTCAATTATAGAAGATTAAACTGAATTTTTTCCCAAGGCATGCCTTACAATAATTACTAACTTGACTGTATACCAAACTCTCATTCCAAGCGTTGACTCACACGGCCCAGTACGATATCGGCAGATCATTGTGGAACACTGACTAAAATAACTCATATTAAATATTAAATATCTTTGAATAAGTAACATACAAAGACTTATGATGTACACCGAATCGTGACAACTTTTTTTTCCAAAGGTTTTTCTTTACACGCCCCACAACTAATTCCGTTGTTTATCCTCTCGATTTTGGATTTTTTACTCAGAGTTTGATCCATTTTATTAATCGTATGATACATCAGGTAGTCTAATCCATAGTCTCTAAAGTTATATAGTATGTGTTTGGTGACGCGCAAATTGAACGACGAAAGACGGTGTGGAGCATTGCGCGGGGGGGGGGGCTGTTATTGGAATATTATTACGCGCATTATAATGTTTCAATTGAAATAAAATGATAAAAAAAAAAAAACATTTTCAACTCTTAATATCTTGATTGTATTATAGTAATTTTTATTTCGTTCCTTTTTTTCCAATATTTTTACTCCTTTCAAATGAAAAAATTCATTACTTCCGGTTTCAAACGGAAGTGCATTAATACATTATATATATGATTTTCAAAATGTTAGAATTGAAAAGAAATTGAATATAATCCTTTGTTTTCGTTCGAAATGTATTAAAAAAGAAATAAAATATATAATCATTTGAAATGAAGATGAATGCAGCCATGCTTTGTGGAGAGATTTTTAGCACTATGCTCTCATATGTTCATTTATTCTTTCTATTTTTCTTAATAGGATCATTGCAACGGCTTTAGATTCGATCTCAAGCAACAACAGAAATATTTAATTTTATACTAATGATTTTTTTTGTGCTTTTTGTTTTTCCTGGTGTCTTTTGCGAGGGTGATTGACAACTAAATCCAAGTTTTTCTCCAATTTGAAGCAGTTGGTAGAGCGGGTAGAGCAAAGGCTGTCCAGAGCCGCCACCCATATCCACCTCTGACTCTCATATTTTTCCTCGTTTTCGGTAATTGATCTCAAATTCTACTATGTCAAGTGATTTTTTGAAACCAGAGGCCTTTAGTTGGATTTACGATCTACATGATTTCATCGACCAACTGCCAACTGGCAATGAATATAATAATTTTTTCTATCAATAAAATATGAAATAACCTTTCTCTCCGAAATCAGTTGATGACATAAATAGTTTTTTTACTTTCCCATTTTCGGCAAATTAATTGAAAAATTATTCATCAAATTTGAATTTGAAATTTTCAGCGCCATGCGTCGTGTCGCTTCGTTTTTTCTCTCTCGCGGATTTTTCTTTGTTGTGCTTGCATATAACTTGCACAAGTGATGGAGAAGAGGGGAGCAGCACACAGAGCGCGCAGCGAGCAGCGTATATACAATATATGTATATAATAATGTATATACTGTAGTAAACGTTGTTCAGCAGGCGGCATCAGAAGTTGATGGGTTGTTGAAAAGCCAATTTTTCATCATCGAGCAACGTCAATAATAACAACTGTAGGATGGCTACTTCTGCCCTTACTTTATCCTCATCACAGGAATCAGTTCTTTACGATGAAGGTGTATTCAATGAAATTCAAAAACACGTGTAAGTATCAGCCAGAATAGACGCTTTCTCATGCACTCGTAAACTTTATTGTTTTTAGATTAAAAACCATGAATAAATTCATCTCTTTTCATTAATCAAATTTTCATCCGTTATCAAATTATTCCAATTTGCTGGTAAATATATTAGTTTTTCTCTCTTTTTTCGTGGAAGGTTAGCGATACTTTAAGGTTATTTTTTTAAACATTTTTACACTTTTACACGACATCCAATATAATAATAATTGATATAAAATTATGCAATTTTCAGTGACATTCATAATCTGCCAATTCTGGAGGAGGAAGAGCTCGTAGAGAGAAAGTATGATTTGACAAGACAAGAGCAACTTGTCAATAATTTTCCGATTAATCCTATGGGAGACATTCCATACAATCATTTGTCCACTCAGATAAATATGAACATTCCAATAAAAGAAGAATTTCCAGGAGAATATAATTTCGAATTATTGTTAAACAATCAAGGAGCAGGAAAAAATTGTGTGGTAATGTACTTGTTATATTATTATAATAATAAATAAAGCAGAGAGCTTGAATTTTCTATAATTTCAAATGAACTTTCAGTTTTCACAAGAATTACGCAAAGTTTTCATAAATATGGAACAAACTCTGCCATTGAAATTCAAATGGGATCCACCGATTGATGGTCTGTGGTTGAGGACAACGATGGTATTTTCAATGGATCAATACCGCAGTGATCCAGTTCAGCGTTGTCACAATCATATGGCAACAAATAGCGTGTCAAATCAAAAAATTGATGAGCGGGTGCTTCGTCATGTTGTTCGCTGTACTCACTTGGACAGTATTTACGAAGAAAATAGTGGTCATATGTCAGTTTCAGTACCGTTAGGTACACCTCAACCGGGATGTCGCTATGTACCTCTGGGATTTCAATTTTTCTGCAAAAACAGTTGCTCATCAGGTATGAATCGTCGCCCAACTGAGCTTGTTTTTACATTGGAAACGCACCAACGACAAGTTTTGGGAAGAAGAATTTTACCAGTCAGAGTTTGCAGTTGTCCAAAACGAGACAAAGATAAGGAGGAGCAAGAATCTAATGATTCTATTACTCCTATGCCTGGAAAAAAACGTAAGTTTAACAACCTGGCAACTCAACAATTTATCCAGACTCATCTTCCACCCGGTAAAAAACCCCTCCTTTCCCACTTATCATCCCCGAACTATGATGTACGTGAGTACGATATATCTATTAGAGTACCAGGAAAAGATAACGCCTCTGCTATTCTAAATTATGCATTTGAACGACTTGCTGGTCGTGCTATGAGGACTGGGGCACATCAACACTTTGCACCCTATATGGATGACATTGAAAACAAAATGAATCACATTAAATAGTGCTCGTTATTTATTATTATTATTATTATTATTATTATTATCATCATTATTATTATTACACACTCATCATTTTTTTATAATACACATTTTAATTCAATATTTATCCATTATTTTCAATTTGTAGACAATAATAATTAAACGATTAAAATATTAATTCCATCTGTAAGTTGTTCACAATAAAGTCCAAGTGCCTTACGATAATTCTACATCTTCCATATTCAATCAATTAGAGAGTAAAGAGATATTTATACAAAGTTTTACAAGTTGCTTTTGCAAACAAGGGTGGAGAGTGGGGTGGAAAAAGAAGAAAAATATAAAGTCATCATAACAATCCGTCACATTGTAATGAAATAATTTCAATGTGGATAAAATCAATAGAATGATCATTGCTGGGTAAATGTGCCTGATGAGATGAGAATTTTTCATGAGTAGCATCATTTATTTTCAACACTTGTCGCTCAAGTTTGAATTTAATTTTATTGTCAGTCCAAGCATGCAAAATCCATTTCATTGGATTTACGCCTGTACCAATCATCCAAGCGCTTCCATTTTCGTACTAAAAAAAATCACATGTATTCTATATTTAATAAAAACAATCTCATCACTAGGATTAAAACAAAAAAAACAGGTAATTTGATGAAAAATTTTTTACCTGGAAAATAAAGAGTTGTTCTGCATGATGAAAAATATATATCACATACGAATGGGATGATAAAGATACTGGTATAATTGCATTGCTTCCATAGAAATGCATTTGATTTCTGTAATTGTGGACATATCCAAGATGTTCTGCAAGCCTATGTTGAGTTAAGGATTCTCTACATTCACTCTGCATGGATAATGGACATAAGAAGAGATTATTATTCGATATAGATTCCATTGATCCACCCCACGAGGGAGTTAAAGGTACACTTGATTTGCTAGTCTGTCCATTATCATTTATCATGCTTCTTCTTTCATTGCCCACACACAATTCACCCGTACTAGCTGATTTAGTTCTATTTCCTCGTGTTAATTCACCAAGCCCTGTAAATCCCACTCGTGTTGGATCATTCTCATGGCATTTTTCTTTTTCATTCGATGTCATTAAATTATCAGCTGATACTGCTCGACCAAATCCACCTGAAAGTATCACATATGCTATGTAGACAATTAAAGTTCAACTATTAATAATATAATCAAATTTTATTTACCTCTAAATAATCTGAAAAACGACGTTTTATATTTTTTTACATGGCTCTCAGGTTCATCATATGATTTTAAAGAAACTTTTCCAAATAACTTTTGTTTCAATGAATGATTTGAATGATTATTTATTTCTTTATTATTGAATGCAATTTCTCTATCATAATTATAATCATTATCAAAGGCTTCTCCAATACTTTGTTGAATTTCATCAGCTATGAGACATCTACCTCGGCCAAGTCTGACTCGGCACACAGGACAACGTAGTGTTTTAATTCGACATGTAGCACACAATATATGTCCATGTACACATTGAGAAATAGGGGATGTTGCTGTTTCTAGGCATACTGGACACTCCAATATATCCACTATCTTTGATATAGCTTTCAAAAATTTTCCCATTAAAATTGGAAGTGGCCCTGCAAGTGCTGTGCCTGATTCATTACCATTGTATTGCTTTTTTTCACCATTATTATTATTCTCTTCGATGCGCCAAATTTGGAGATTTATCACCGATCCTGAAGATTCTTTTCTTATTAATGAAGCTATATCTTTAACTCGAAGACCTACAACATCCACTTGATCTATTTGTAAAAGACAATCCCCTGTCCTATATAATAACAACAATAATAACATGTATTATGGCTTCTTTTTTTTGTTTTTCTTCTATAACTCTTACTTCAATCCAGCGACGTCAGCAATACTTCCATGTTCAACGTATCCAACCCATGGATAAGGATCCCACTTTGATCTTGTTAAATGAAATCCACATGTCTTTTTCTCATCTCTCGCGGCATCATTTTCTCTAATATTTAGTGTAATTGTAACTCTACAAGTGGAAATTAATGGTATCGCCATGATTTCAAATAAAATATCAATGTGGTTATTACTATTATTTGAAAAAAAAAATTAAATCACTTGACAATTTCTATTCGTTACTCAGTTCATTTAAGATTTAATAGATATGAGTAATTATTCATTTCCACAAAGTGAAAAACTTGATAACAATCCTTTTTGAGTTCATATAAACAACTAAAATACATATAACACCAACTGCTTAGCTACAATGTGCTGATTTGACCATGAAATTTCAATAAGTTAAATGACTCGTTCACCTTCACCTATTTCTACCGACCAATCATGACATTGACTCTAAAATAAATGGTGAATGTAATTTTTCACACATATACATGGCCTCTCCGCGGACGCACACACACACACACAATCAACATTAATTTTATTTTCGGCAAAAAATAATAATGAATGGATGATTTAAATTTTCTCTCTTATTATTATACAGTTATTGATATAAAATGTTTAAACATTGATTCAAAGTGTGCATAGTTGCATGAGCAGTGGCTTTTAAAATTAAAAGCTCGTGCTCAAGATGGAAAATTGAGGTATCAATAATTTGGGAAAGGCTTTGAGTCTGTTTTTCAACACGATTGAGTTGTTCTCGACAATTTGCAAAAGCATCAAGAACTTCAAGTTTAGCAACAGGATGTCTTGATGAATTGGCTGAGTGCTCTCGTGGAGGCAAGGGTGGGTGACTACTAGCAATAGCTCGTGTATACATTTCCGTAACTGCTCTCAATTTGTCAACCCATTCTTGTCGAGCGCGAGCATCTGTTGCTCGGAGCTTTATCATGTCACCTGCAAAAGCAATAAATTATAATTTTTTTTATTTTTAATAGTTGAGTTATATTTATTTAATATGTATTTACCAGTGGCTGAATTCACAGTGAAAGTATTGGAATCTTCATCGCTGGGTGCTATTACGGCTCCAGCCAAGTAAATTGAACATCTTGGTCTTTGATTTTTTTCCGATTCACTCAAAAAGTAATGTAACTCTCCAGTTTCAGGACTGAGGTTAAACCATCTATATTGCCAGCCCTTCATGGCATTTGTATATTTGTGAAGAAGTCCTTCATAAGGATGCCGCACTTGGTTATTCATTATTATTTTATACTTGATTAAATATACAAGGAAAATACTGATAATGTCAATTAACATTCATGTGTCAATAATCAAGTCACTCTCTGGAGGAAAAAAAAAAACACCACGGAAACTGACATTCGTATATTTGCTCTGTGAGAAAAATTTGAGGTTATGAATTACCAATAGCCCAAAGTAAAAAGGTGTGTCTATATGTATATATCGTTTACCTTGAAATGGAAATGAAAAACATATTATTATTTCAAGTATTTGCTTTCGATAATTCACTAGTTTATTATAATATATATTTTTTAAATAAATATAAAATTGAAAGTAGCATTGAATTAATTAAAATGCGCGTAAAGGCCTCAATGATAAACATCACGTGGTTTTATCATCAATATTATATTTCTTATTATTATAAAAATGATGAATAGTGTCCCAAGTCAAGCCATTACCATGCGGACCGTGCATTGATGGAAATAACACGTGTCTCCAAGATCTTCCTTCAAGACCCAAGAAAATAATCCAATTCAGTCGTGGGCCAAAATCATAAGGATTACAGTATTCTCGATTTTGGGCCTTGTATTTAGCCGATTCTGTACTATTAATTCTTGCTTCAATGCTTGTTTCACCCCTAGTTATGAGACCTGCATGCCACCAAGAAAGGGCACCCAATGCTGCAAATGTTGCAACACAAATGAGACCCGCAAATAAAATCATTCTTTTACGCCATTCTTTTTCCTTAGTTTCTACAGCTTTTTGTGCTATTTCCGCTAATTCCGATGGATTTAAATGGTCCATTGATTCAGTCTGGAAAAATAGAGACAAAAAAAAACAATTACTACAATTATGGAGAATTATTAGTGTTGTCGTTGAATGCCAACATGAGAAATAATTACCATGGGTATTATTTCGGAATTATTTATCCTCACCGGATGACCATCAAGTTCTATTTCTTGGTCGAGAAAGAAATCTTTATATGCTATTTCTACTCCAAAAAGCATAATAAACATAATACCAGTGACGGTAAACGCCATATACTGAAAAAAATGCCGATGATTGTTGTGCCCTACACAGTTATTCAGCCATGCTAATGGGAGAAAGAAAAGAAAAACAACAACAACAATATTAAGGATTAATATCTTAAAAATACAGGGAATAAGCGACGATCAATTTATAGGAAAATTAAGGATACGACAATGGTGATCCATCTTGAGAACACATTTGTTGCAAATTGAACAATGATGTGTACGTGGTGGCTTGGGTTTTATACATTTTTTACATATACTGACTGCTTCAGGTATAAGTCCACCCTGTGGTGGATAACCAGCCGGCACATTGACTCCCATATAATAATGAAAACAAACATTTACAAGTAACCAATTTCCTACTAGTAGTAGAAAGATTGTTGATAAAGGACTCTTTTCCCACCAGTAAGGGAGTCCAATATAGTATGCTATGTACACAATGGCAGCGGTTAATGCTGTTACCATTGTTACTAATATCTGCAATATAAATCAATGAGATATATGTATTTTAACACACATTGTATATGTGATAATTTATCAAGAAAATTATAGTCAAGTATAGTTTTTAGAAATATTAATAATAATTATATACTGACTGGACCTAAAACTGCTGTAAAATTTTCAACAAACCAACAAATTGGCTCCATCACAATATCACAGGCATATCCCCAACTCATAAAATCATTATAAAATAGACTGTTCAATGCTATTTTTAATCGTCTCCATTTGGTTTTCAAATTCATTCTGCAATTTAATTCAATAAATTATTTCTATTACGAGTATTCGCCCATTTTTATTAATATCAAACATACCTCAATATTCTTGGACATTCTTGAAGAACCCATTGAATTTTCGCCATTTTATTGATTTAATTTATTCAATAATTCAATAACAACAGATCACACAAAGTCACAGAGCAAAGTCAATTAAACTCTTATTGTATTCAATACACACATTAGTATTATTTTGATGAAATTTGCCCTTTTACAATGCATATCGCTGAATTTCATAAATATTCTCTATATTTCAATGCCTTCAATTGTTTCAATTTTTACTTGAAAAAATGAAAAATAAACACATAAATAAATCTTAACAAACGGTTACACTGATTATTATTATACATACATACATATATATATACAGTAGGACTGGCGGAGAGATTGTTTTCACTAGAAATTGTAGGTTGTGCATTGAGTGTTTCCCATTCCCCCGCCCCCGCCATCCGCCAGTCATCTCAGTGGAACAAACCCGCCAATCCTACGGTATATATTATAGACGATTATGTATGTATAATATCTCGACTTTCGAATATAATGATAATAATCTGAGGTCCTTCGTACTTCTTTTTTTGGTATTCACGATTGTTGGACCACCCTTTTTGTCATTGCGCTGCCTGCCTGCGGCCCTCGGTGGTCGACCCTTTTGGTAATTTCGGAGAAAGTCGGACTTCATTAGCATCAGAGGCGTTAGTAGATACCGTGTATGCTGAGCCGATAATGTAGGTCGTTACGTTATCTCGACCGTCAGCATGTGACAGCACGTACCCAATTTGGGCTTGCGTAGCGTGTATATGGGAAGCCTAAAATCGTCCATATTGGTGAAAACGAGCGCCGCCATCGGTAATTAGCGGTCCCAATAACACCATTGCAACTGAATTTGGTTACTGGGAGGCTTTCGAGTGTGTGAAAGGCATATTTTCCCGCGAAAATGATATGTAGTCGAACGACTCGATAGAATTTCAAGGAAGGCTATATTATTATCTAAAAACCATTGGGTTATTTCTATTCCTACCTATGGAAACGACCTGACGCCATTTTGGTGTTGCGCAGTTGTTATAACAATTTCAGCGCGGAGCGGGCGGGCGGAGGGAAGGAGGAGAAGGAGCAGGATATATTGTAGCTCAACGCACAGCACAGCATATCGTCCCCCGGGGGTGGGGGACCGGCCGCAAGACAAATTCAGTCAGTGCCACAGAAATCAAGAAGAAGAAGAAGAAGTCCCCCGGGGAGTTCATGCATGCTCCCCAAGCCAAAATTAGGAAAAAATTAATTAAAAAGTGATTATTAATACCCAAACTCTAAATCGATTTTTTTTGGCCTTCTGAAATGATTTTGCATCGGTTCAAGCGGTTCCGATCAGCATTTGATGATACCACCTGCCAACTCATCGCTGTACGCCATATAAAAAATATTTAATTTTAAATAAAACTATTAATTCTTAAACTATCCAAAATTATTCCCAAATGATTAGATTGGGTTTCATCTGCTATAGCTATATGTGTCCGTTAGTTAGTGTATTATTTAGTAATTCGTAAAATAATAATTAAAAAAAAAACGACGCAAAGAAAATGTAATATATTATTTATATACAATTCATCGTATCCATCATTCAGAATAATGTATATATTTTTCTATCTTAAATACAATAATCTATGAACTTTCAATTTTGACTGAAATACACACTCTGTGTAGGAGTTTTTATCTATTTTGTGTTGTCTATTGTATCTTTAATTATTAATCTGATAATAATTTCAAGATAAATTCTTATATTTTAAATTGATATTAAGAGAAAGTCAAGAAGAGAAGCTGCATACAGCCTCGATGGTAATAATAATACTGCTTCAATTGATTAACGTAATACCCTTCGATGAAACAACATTTGCCTCATAACTATAAATGTCAGAATAAGGAGTCGAAAGGAAAATTTCCTACTTCATCAGAATCTTAATAGTTATTAGGAATCTATATGATGTATTCCACGTTAAAGAGATGAAATTTTTTTCTGTCATATAATTCACACGTTTTAATCTTTGAAAAAATCAAATTTTAATTTGGTCAAGGATTAACCAATTTAACATGGAATACCTCTCATCATATAATATACACATCAATTGATGATGTTGATTCACATTTCTGCCCACTTGAAAAAGAATAACTATTGTTTATGAACAACATTTGACTACGATATATACGTGCAAATCTTCTATGAAAGCCTTCTATTATGGTGCGATTTCACAAAATTTTATGATATTCAAATACACTATAGGTATATTTTCGATAATAATTCTTCATTCAGTAGCCGTCTCTCAGTTGATGTTGATATTCTTGAATTTCATGTTCCATACAAATCCCAAATTTCCAATTGGTTTGGCACAATGCAATATGTCAATTTGTTAAACCGACATTTATAACGACATTATAATGAATGTACAATAAATAGAATTTTTTTTTCTCTTCGTTTGATAAATTATAAATTTTCATAATACTGTGTCCAGTGTATCTAAACTCCGTAATAGTTGTTCATCCTTTGAACACCACGTTACAAGCTCCTCAATTGTGACAACTCCATCTTTATTTGTATCCATGAGCTATATGTGGTATATATAATAGAAAAATCAAAGGTTAGCATCATCAAATTGGGTAGAAAAAAACTATTAATATGTAAATATCCTTTTTTAAAAACTAAGTGAAAAATTTGAATATACATGAAAAATACGATCAACGTGCTCTCTTGCTGCTAGCTGTGGTTCTGCAATTTGTGGCTGAGTATAACGACCTAGCATTTCATATATAGAGCCAACTACATCGAGCATTTCTTCTTTACTTATTAAACCATCGCCATCCAAATCGTAAAGACCAAAAACCCATTGAAGTTTCTCCTCAACAGATCCACGTGATACTTTTGATAGAATTGAAAGAAATTCCTGAAATCCAAGCACATGTAAATAGTGATCATCTTCATAAAGTTGTTCGTTCTCACCTCAAAACTTATTTTTCCAGATGGTTTCCGCTTCATCGTATTGAAGACATAGTGAGCGTACTGACTGGCATCTAGATCAAAAGCGAGAAAAAGCGATACGCAAAGCAACATAATCACAAAATTTATATCACATAAATTTAATAGATGTATATATGTCTAAGGACGGATCATTATTTAATGATTAAAGGTATGGCGATCATATGGCGAGAAATAAGCAAAAGCATATATGATTAGTATTATGATTTGACCTGATTTTATAATTATCATAGCGAGAAACCTTGTGGGCCTCCCGCAAAATAGACTGCTCCAAGAGATGCACTCACCGCCCTGAGGGAAGAACTGTGAGAATATCTGTTTGAAGCCCTCTTCGTCAACTAGACCAGTTGGGCATTCTTGTTTAAAGCCACGGTAGATGAGTTGAATCTCCTTTCTGGTGAATCTCGTTGTTTTGGCTAACGTAGCTAATTCTTCGGGCCTGTGGCGACCAGCCAAGGCAATACTCGTTGCAGCCACCGAACCCCCTAAAACGTCCGCGACATCCTCAAGCTCCTCCTCTGTAAGAGTTGAACGAGCCACAACTGCCAAGACTGTATCACCTCGTCTCGAGATATTAACTTATACCATCCAGTAGTTACTTTTTATTAATAATTATTCAACTAACTTTTCTCCATTCTTTTTTTATACATTTTTTTTCTACTTACACAGAGCGTGCCAAAGAGTTTTTTTTTTTTTCGTGTCACTCCCGACACATGAGGGTGAAATAGAAGAGAAAAGTAATTAATATTGCATCTATAATAATCTGTTATTCATCAATTTATGTTTTCATTTTAGAAAAACATAAACGTGCGGCAAGGAGAATAATGGATATAGATATAGAGAGGAGGCAACGAGCAAGAGAAAGAGATAACAATAAATGCTTTCTTAATGCAGGCCACGAACCCACGTAAATTAGTTGCAATTTTTATCGTTATTACATCAATTTCAATTTGGAAATTCATTATATGCGCATAGGGAGTGGAAACAAATTTATATGTTGGTGACTTTCATTACTCGCATGCTAGACAGTGTATAGAATAAGAAGTGAAACTTGGATAGTGAATGGCATGCTTCAACTGTTAACTAAATTCAATAGCAAAGCGATACAGGGTGATACGTCGATTTTCTTTTTTTTCGAAAATAAGTTATTGATGAAAAACTATTCTATATATTGTATTACAAAATATAGCCCCTATCAACAATTTGAGTGAAAAAAAAATTAACTATATTTTTATTCAAGTGAAAAACAGAATAAGTCCTGAATTTCCTTCTCAACTATCGTCCTCCGAGTTAAGTCGGTTTATACCTGAAAAAACTATTAGCTGATGAATGAAATTTTTCTATCGGAGGGGAGTTTGAACCGAATAATACAACCTACGGAGTTGCAACCTAACGTGTTAGCCCTGCTTGGAAAATGATCCTTAGAATCATTTCTGCACTTTAGTCCCAGAAAAAACATTCACGCACCTCTGAAAAAAAAAATGAATTCTCAATAGTTCAAAATAGTTGTTGATCTTTTAATAATTGAATGATCCACGTCCAAGTGATTCTCCATTTGTGAAGAGGATTTATATTGAATTGGTGCGTATGGCATAGTTCTTGTTTTTTATGGTTAATCGATTTGTATTCGCCGTCGGGAATAATAAGTTGACTTATGTCTCATGGCTCATGTATACAATAAGCGGAACAAGTCATCAACTATAAATCAGAAATTCAGTTATAGAAAATTCAGACCGAAACCTGCAAATATAGTTTGTTTTTTGGCTCTCCTGTAACATGACAATTTATCGACTTATCACTCTTTACCGCTTCGCTACTGAATTGTAAACTTCATATTTAATAGATACATAGTTTTTTGTAATTTTATTTTTCTTTTTTTTTAGTGTGTTTTGTCATGTGTTCCTCTATAATTTATGACATAATTTTATCTGCAACTCGTTTGTCGCTTGATATATGAAAAATTATTGGCCTGTAAAACCATCGTTTCGCGCAGTAGTCACATTATGGTATCCCGGGCATCCCGGTCACTATGGCAACGAGAGACTGCAAGTAGTAAGAAGGGAAAATTGGAGGGAAGAAACGGGGGAGTCGATGCGACGACTCCTCTTACACTTTCTCACGGCTTGACATCTTTCTCTCACTCACTCGCTCGCTCCAATAATTGACAATAAAATAATCATGCCTCTCTTATTTTTTCGCGTACATTCAAAGTCGCAAAAATAATAGTAGTAGTAATAATAATAATAATAATAATAATAATAATAATAATAATAATAACTAAATAATCACCGCAACTTGATGATAAATTTGGCTTATTTTTAAATCTTCTCTTCTATATATTTCCCCCCCCCCCAATATCAACGCCAATGTATTGATGATTATTAAAAGTATTTTAAATAGATGTCTTGGTTAGCTCATTACATTTGATGAATTTTATGTATATAATTATTTAATTCTCGAGCAGGTATTACAGTGATGTGTACGTGTGCGTATGGCATATTTTTTGTGTTGGTGATATATATTATTGACGTTCCACAAACTCACTTTTTTCACGACCTTTCCGTACTGCTTTCATCTTGTCCGTCACTATTTGTTTTTCTCAATCTTGAATGAATGGATGATGATCTCTCAAGGAAAGAATACCTACTTAAACCGTCCGTACAACTCAGAGTCCAAATTGTTATAGATTATCAGGTTCTTCTTCTTATGTTTGGCCAATTGTTGTATATTCCTATCTCAATCGTGTCTATTCTATTCTATATATACATATGATGTTTCTTAATTATTATATTTGATGTAGTGTATGATGTGCAGCAGCGACTCACTACTGCATAAATATACCGAGTGGAAAGTTCACGCATAAACCTTACGCGGTCCATTGTAGGCTGGCTATATGACGTTTATATGTGCTCTTGCGCACAATAAGTCCATTCGAACGATCCATTACGGATGAAAACCACAATGTTTTCATTCCATTTTTTTCAACACTAAAATTCATCAACGAATATTTTCAATCCATTCTAATAAGATGTACTGATGTACATACTATTCATCAATCCCTCGGTAATGCATAATTCCTAATTCAATATTACTAATTGATATAGGCCCCCCAAATATTCTTTATTTCACATCTACTCTAGCTCTAATTTGCTATTTTCAATTTATTTGAATATAATAGCATCTTGTTAGTATTTCTGATAAGTTAGTTTTAGAAGAAGCGAAGAAAAATTGGCAATTTAGTAGTAATCAAGCTTGCCCTCAAGGTGTCGCGAATCGATTCTTCCTCCTGGCAGGATCGATCCTGATCATCTCATAACTTTTTTTTTCGACAATGGGCTTCGCGAAGGAAAAGCGTCTCGGGAGTATTCAGAGTTGAATAATCAACGATTCATAAAATACTGAAAAATAATAGTTTCTTTTGCGGCTCCAAGTAAGTAAAGGAACGAATGATAACAATGAATGAGACAATGAAACTCAGTGGGCTCTCGTATAAACAACTTCAAGCCCTAGCGATCACATATAAAGTACCGGGGAATATTAGAGTACAGTATTATTCAATAAATTTAACCTCATTAAATGGATGTACAGTATCTACATAAAACCTCGTCTTGAGTAATCAACAAGTTAATTTATTTTCATTAGAAAAATCTTCTAATAAAAGTTCTCGAAGCTGTGAGAGAGGGCGATGATGTTGAGGTAAACAAGTTACTGCGTGAGCTACATCAAACAAGAAAAAAACGTGCCAAAAAATCTACCAAACAATTGGAAAAAATATTAGATCTAGAGCCAATAACAAGCTACAGCCCCGACTTTGATCAAAATAATTGTTACTCTGTTGTAAATGTTTCTCAAGCTCAACGTGGATCGGTACGTCGTATTATTTATTATTATTATTATTATTATTATTATTATTATTATTATTATTATTATTATTATTATTATTATTATTATTATTATTATTATTATTATTATTATTATTATTATTATTATTATTATTATTATTATTATTATTATTATTATTATTATTATTATTATTATTATTATTATTATTATTATTATTATTATTATTATTATTATTATTATTATTATTATTATTATTATTATTATTATTATTATTATTATTATTATTATTATTATTATTATTATTATTATTATTATTATTATTATTATTATTATTATTATTATTATTATTATTATTATTATTATTATTATTATTATTATTATTATTATTATTATTATTATTATTATTATTATTATTATTATTATTATTATTATTATTATTATTATTATTATTATTATTATTATTATTATTATTATTATTATTATTATTATTATTATTATTATTATTATTAATCAAACAACTGATTGATTCAGCGACTTTGTTTGATTAATTTGTGGAATATAAAAATATTTGTTTTTATAAGAAAATTAAATTAATTTTTACAAGCTGATGAATACTGAAAGAGAGGACACAATAACAAGAGATTCTAATCGCGATGAGAATCAAGTGCAAATACCAATTTATCCGGAATTTAATCAATTCTTGGAAGAAGGAATTCAGGATGAATATTGCTATCATGCTAATGCCAATGAGCGATCCCAGAGTCCTACAGTTGTTGATTTACGAATAAATCCTTATAAAATGGCTGAATGGAATGAAATTGAGATGCATAACAAAAATCGCTTTGCCGATTTTATACATGATGAGAAGGCTTCTTCAGTTATTGATTACAAAAGTTACAATAACATTGATTCTAGTCAAATGATCCAGTATGAAAGCCCAAGATTATTGAAGAAAATGCTTCAGGCACCAGTAGGCGTTAATTTAAAGCAGCTGGTCAATTATGAAGATTCATATGATATACCGACAATAAACAATGATATATTCGATGATTCTGACACTTTAACAGCTGACTCAGACATTAATATCAATGATAATCGAATTGACTCTGATTATTATCATCATTATCATCATAGTAATAATAATAATAATACTAATTGGCATGGAAGTAACATTGACAATATCTTCAAAGCTTATGGTAATTCATTGTAATTTGTTGATTTATATTGTATTAGAATTTCGTCGACAAACATTTATTATCATTTTATTTTACACAGGTGATGATCGTATTGAACACTACGGATTTAGTTACCATGCTTATTCCAATGATGTTATTGAAAATTGTCAAAAATGGCTGGCCAATTCATCGTTAATGCTTAACAATAATGCTAATAATAATAACATAGTAAATATCGTTAATAATAACGATTACTGTAATCAAAATCACAGTCACTACTCTCCCGGAGTGACTATTACAAATCATGAGAATCCACTGCATTATCATAATACTGATGATCAATACTACAATTTCAATATCACTGAAACTAATGACAATCAATGTGGATATCATCATCATCATCATCATCATCAGCAGCAGCAGCAACAACAACAACAACAACAACAACAACAACACTACGAACGTGATATAAATATTGTTGAGGAAATAGGACGAGTTGAAACTATCGAGACAGTTGATGTACAGGGCTCTGATCAACAATGGACAACTGCTGCATATGCTCTGCATCAAAATCAAGAATCCCTTGAGACTTTTTACGAGGGCAGTAATATCGTATGTAACGCTGCAGAGCAGTCGCAGTATGAAGAATTCCATATTAGATTACCAGAATATGACGATCTAGAGAACGAGCGATACTCACAATATATGAAAGCTCAATACACTGCAGAGACAAGCAACATTCAAGTTCAACCAGAGATTTTGGAGGAGCAATGGAATCGAACAAATTTTACATCTAATGATTTTCCATCGATGCCAGACAATGTTGTTGATTGTTATTGGCCACAAAGTTCATCATCATCAGATATTTCAAGGATTCAGATACCACGAGTAAATTATAAATTAGAAAATTTACTCAATTTGGAAAAAACCTCATATCAAGGAGAGCAAATCAAGTTTGATCAGACATCTTCCGTATACTGCTATACGGCACCAATTGTTACGCAACGAATATTCTCGTCTCCTTCACCTGCTTCCCAAAAGAGTTATATGGATTCGGACGTACAAGCCTCCTCCTCTTCATTCACCACTAATTGCTTGATGCCCACCAGTGACGTTCACGCTCCATTGATATGCCATCAATTGTACACCAATAATTTTATGGATTTGTCAAGTCATACGCTATGCGAAGATACAACAGATGCTGCTAATATTATTGATATTACTGCTACAATTCACAACAATACGTGGCTTCCTGAGTATTCAGCTATTGATACCGTTGATAGTACTCAGTGTTACAATCGTTAGAGATATGCCGATAAATCGTTATTTTTTTTTTCCAAACAAAAATAATATAATTATTTTCTTGTTTTTTCTACTATTTTTCACACAACTATAAGTATATAAAGAATAGTCTTTAAAAAGACGCCTTGTTCTTCAATTTCTCACTGATGGAAATAATGGAAGAACGAATAGCTGTTGCTGTATATGTGAAAAGAATGAAACAAAAACGTGTAGTAGAGTTTAAATTTGACAATAGCCAAATCCTTAAAATTATTATATTTTTTTTTTTATTAAAAAATGTAGTTGGGACATGAATCGACATTTTCTTACGTATATTATAAATAGATGATTAATCCTCATATACCATTCATTTGTCTACTCGTTATTTTCATCAATATAAATCAATACATAATAGTCTATCCATTTTATACAATAAATCTTCTCTTTTTTTCTTATGCTCAATGTCTGGAAGAAATTATCGAGTGCGTATCAATGGAATTTTTTGAAGAAATTTCACAAAATATTGTATCCTAAAAAATTTCGAGAACTTTGCAATTTTTCGGTCGAAAAAAAATTTCGATCCTACTTTAAATAACCGAAATTTCACGCGCCAACACATTGCAGTATCTGAATATAAATAAGCACTTATCTGCTTATCTGTATCTAGATGCTATTATGAACTACCCTCAATCGGCTATTCGGCTCCCTAACCTCCATTTTTTAATCACTAAAAGTGCGCAGAAAATAGCGAGTTAATATTAGAGATGTGTGTTTTTTTTTATTCTACTAATTGAATATTTGAAAAACTAAAAAAATTGATTTTTTTAATTACATCTCTATACCTTTTTGTATTGGTGGCATTAATTAATACTGCAGCAATTTACATTGAAGTAGGTATGATGGTAAAGAATTGAACTTTATTATTGAGTTGATGTTATTAACTCATGTATATGTTTTAATTTTAATTTTAATTAATAATAAATAAAAAAACATGATTGCAGAGTTGATAATGTTACGAGTTACCATGATTACTAATGCTGTCAATTGCCGGCTCCCAACACAATTGGTAATGAATGAATGGATAGGGATAAATGGAACATTCTCTCAAATTATTCGCTGGAAAAGAAAGCCCATTTGGTTGCCACAAGCTAAATCTAAACTTTTCAAAGTACCACCGAGATTACGCCTTCCTCAGGAAGAGTCAGGTGAAATTCTGAGATTGTACAATCACTATCGCACATACAGAAAGTCAATAAGGTCTCAGAAGAATATTTATATCAAATAATAAATGCAAAATTCTAATAAATATTAACTGTATTTATCATTCAATTCTGTAGAGAATATCTGGTGCAACTGATGGAAGCAAGTCAAGTGCAATTTGATGAAGAATTACTCAAAAAAGCTGAAGAAGAAGACTATACAAAATGTTGGAATATCAATGAGGAATGGAATAAAGAAGTAGGAAAAGTGAGACAAATTCGTTTGGAGAAACAACACCAAGACCGTAAACAACAAACTCTCCAAATTATTAGTGAGAAAAGAGAACGTCACAGACAAATGATGGAGAAAATTGAAGAAAGAGTGAAAAAAGCCAAGATCGAGGCGGATACCTTCATTACGCGTGAAAATATTGATCGTGCAATTGAAGAGGCTTTAGCTAATGTTGTGGATTATAATGCAGCAATTGATAAGGAAGGCAATTTTTATAGAAAAAATGTGACTAGCGAACAACAGGCTTCAGTTTAACAATGATAATTTCATTGGATAAAGTTTATTATATCCTTCGAAAAGACTTTTTCATTTTGCAAACCTAATATACTGTATGTAGAGATCATAATCATCATCGTTACCACCATTTATCTTAAAAAAAAAAAAAAAAAAAAAAAAAAAAAAA